GGTTGGTTTGGGGTTTAGGGTTGGTTTAGGGTTTAGGGTTTAGGGTAAGCCTCAAGCGGGGGTCATGATGAGAAGACGGATTAGATTCCAAACCTCAAGAATCCCAATGTATTCCTTACAATCCAAAATTACGCTAAAATGACGCGCGAAGAGGTTTGTGAAACTGTTACCTACAACCTCCCCTTGAGAGCCGTCCTGGAAAATCCTTACTTACAGTAGAGTTTAACCTTCCCACAGCACTCACAGAACCTTAAAATCAAGGCCTACACCCTCCCTATACCCTAAACCCTGAATAGTAGTTTCCATTTGATTTTCCATCATCCCGATACAACCCCAATATAACCCCAATGCAACCCTAGGAACAATGCAACCCTAGGAACAACCCCGATATAACCCTAATCAAACCCCAATATAACTCTACTATAACCCCAATAATAACCCTAATACTAACTAATAATAACCCAAATACTATCTAATAATAGCCGGAGTACTAACTACTAATACTAACTAATAATCACCCTACTAATAACCCCAATAATAAACCCAAAGCCCTAAACCCTATACCCTAAAACCTAAAACCTATACCCTAAAACCTAAAACCTAAAACCTAAACCCTATACCCTAAACCCTAAACCCCAAACCCTGAACCCTAAACCCTAAACCCTAACATAACCCTAATATTACCTAACTTCCCCACGAGGTCGTGCAGCTTTCCGAGGCTCACGGCCAAGTAATCCCCGAGGCACGAGCCTCAGAGGGGAAAACTGTCGTTTCAAGGATCCATGAAGTTTGTTGTTGGTTTAGGGATTTAGGGGTTTAGGGTTTGTTGTTGATGGAACTCACGAACTGTCGTTGCGAGCTGAATTCAAACATGCAAAAGAGTGGAAGACATGAGGGTTTAGGGTTTTGGGTTCTATTCCGTAGGGTTATATTAGGGTTCTATTGGGGTTCTATTGGGGGTATATTGAAGTGGGGTAAGTTATATTAAGGGTTTATGAAAGTTCTATTAGGGTCATATTGGGGTTATGTTGGGGTTATTTTGGGGTTCGTTGTAGTTGGGGGGGTTAAATGACCTAAATGCTGTTGAGGTTTTAGGGTTTGAGGCTTCGGGGCCTAGAGTCTAGCTGTTAGAGCTTCCGAGATTGCAGGCATGCAGGTATTGCCAGAAGTCATCGAGTAGGGTTCACAAGTAGCACGCGATATACTGTAATCTACTAGAATCTACTATACGCCCCTCCCAAAAGCTTAACACCCTTTTATTGACTCTATATATATACCCATCATAGTACCTTAAGTTAAGTTCCTTAAAAAACAACCCTAAACCCTAAACCCTATAAACCCTAAACCCTATAAACCCTTGCAAATCTCAACTCCAAAGAGCTGTGAGCCGCTCCCACACCCTTCTTTTCGGGGTCCAGCGCATCAGCCAGCATGACCAAGCCTTAGGATAGGGTTTAGGGTTTAGGGTTTGGGGAAGACTTATTAGGGTTATATTGGGTTGTATTGGGGTTAGATTGGGGGTACATTAGGGTTATATTGGGTTGTATTGGGGTTATATTGGGGTTGTAAGAGCAGGAGTTAAGGTAAATAAGAGGTGCTAAATCCTACACCCTGCCATCCCAGAGCTTCTAATATACTAGAATATGCTAGAATATATTAGAATATACCATAATCTACTAGAATATACTATACAAGAAGGACACTTCAGAAAATGTCTTCGTCAAGACTGAGTGGCTCTTCCTCTTGGCTGCATTCACCATGGACTTTCGGCTGGGGCCCTGTGGCTGCTGCAGAATACATCGCCTTCAGGGGGGGGGGCCGGAAGGATCCATGTTATCCTGCTGAGTCTTTCTCAAATGCGGGAGTAAATGTAGGTACCATTATTATTGGGATATGTATATATATATGAGGATTATATAGGGATTATTACATTATCATTGGGATATATATATATATATAGGAGGATTATATGGGGATTACTATAGGGATCCACTTCCTGCGGCCGCCATAATGAATCCCACAATCCAGGATGTTCCTGAACTGCGAGCCCTAGACAAGATCCCATCTCCAACTCCTGGGCCTGCCCTAGTGAAACCCACAATATGAACAGGGTCCTCCTAAACTCCAAGCCCTAAACACCCTAAACCCTAAACAGACAAGCCCTAAATAAGCCTAAACCCTAAACCCTAAGTAAGCCTGAACCCTAACCCCTAAATAAGCCTAAACCCTAAACCCTAAACTCCCATCACCGTTCCTGCAGCAGTTTTGCAAGCGTTCGCCCATGATGAGCACTGCCGGGTATGCGAACAGCACAATTAGCCATGCGAGAGTGACCTCGGCGAAAGAGTTGGAGGTTTCTTTCCCAAAATTAGGGTTTAGGGTTTAGGGTTGGTTTAGGGTTTAGGGTTTGGGTTGGGGTCCCTACAATAAGCATTATCGCATCTTGGGGTCCTCCTCTCTAGGGGAACTACCATTCAATGAAACATCCTTGACCACTTTCTGCGGTTCTGAAGGTAGTAAGTAAACACGGTTTAGGGTTTAGGGTTTAGGGTACCTGCAAATATCGAAGCCTTTCGACCCTCCACAGCGGCATGAAACTAACAGGCGCCCTACAAAGACTACTCGCCTTTGAAAAGCAGGCTATTTGGGGTAAGGTAAGTATTTCAGCAGGTACAATTCCCCAAATAGGGGGACTCCAAAACATGTAGAGCCCCAAATACTTAATTCCTTGTGATTGGGACCCCGTAAAAAAGTATTGGGAAACACCCATTTAGGCCCAGAGGCACAAACGCCCATGAAGAAGCCAAACTCCCTGAGGGGCCGCAACACGGAGGCCAAGTTCGCAAAAAAAGACCTGAGGCTTACACATGCTTCAAGGCCACTCTGGGAGCGAATGGTAGTTCCTTTTCTTGGAAAATGATGTATGAGCCTTGAGTGTTTAGGGTTTTGGGTTTAGGGATTAAGGATTCTTACCATTTTGGAAAAATGTATGGGCCCTGCACCCAAATACTAAGCCCAAGAATATGCGGCTCAAGTTATACAGGCCCACTCCGCCATTCGCTGCAAGCATCAGCGGGGTGAATGCAGAAGTTTTACTGAAGACATGCTTCTATATTGTCTGCAAGATCAACAACATGTGGGAATGCTTGCCCTCACATGAGCTATAGTCTAAACTCCTCAATAACCCCTATAATAGTACCCTTTAATCCCCTATCTCACCCCCTTTAAGCAGTTTAGACCCTGAACCCTAATCCTGATATATATATATATATGTATATAGAATCCTCTATATAACACCCCTTGAAGGAGGGATTCGACTATAGCTCACATACACAAGGAATGATGTCATTCCCACACTTCTGGCTGAGGTGCATTGCTGTGGTGAAGGTGGTGGCGGCCGTAGAGGAAGCCGCCTGCCAAGCTCTCTACAAGCAACGCGGTTTAGGGGCTTAGGGTTTGTCCCTACGCCCTAAACCCTAGACCCTAAACCCTAAATAGGGGTTTAGGTTTGTTTTTCTCGGACCTAGGGGTTTGGGGTTTGGGGGTAAGACTCCCGGTGTCAACACAAACAGCCACTGTCCGAATCAGAACAGGAACCATCTGAAGCGAAAGCCACTGAATTGGCAAGTAAGGCAGCTCAATCAAAGGCTACGTTTGAATCGATAGCTGTAATGCCTGAATAGGTAACCTCGTAAACCAAAACATGCGGTGCCAAAATCTAAAGGCCAAGAAGACCTGACCATGGTCGAACTGACTAATCGCTAGTGGTCTCTTAATATGAATAATGACGAAACCCCCCAAATCCCAAGCCAACAGCTGCCTGAAAGTAGGTGAATTTCAGCCTCTCAGCTGGATCGCGTGTGAAGAGCCTGCAAGCTGCTTCAGGCTACATCCAGCAGGTCTTACGGCAGTCAGAAGGATGTGTGGGGGTCGATGTCACTGGTCTATCTTGACGTTCTTGAAAAAACTCCTCTCAATCCTGGCCCCTATGATCTTAAGCTCACCAAGTCTAAGCCCTTTAACCTTACAGCCTTCATCGCTAAGCCAGAAGCTCTAAATTTTGTACTATAGAACCAGCACCAGCATTGCCAATTCTTGGACATTTCTAAACCCTAAACCAAAACCCCTAAACCCTAAACCGCAAGGCCAAGTAGCAGGGACTGCTTGTAGAAGTCTGTGTAGACGAACAGCATATCTGAGCCAACCCCGATGACTATGAAGACGGAGAGGCACATCATGAGGCTGAACCTGGCGCCAGGGGGTGTTCAAGGGATTATATATTCTATATATTGGGGGTTATATAGGGGTTATATTGGTTTAGGGTTTAGGGATATTGGGGGTTATATAGGGCTTATATTGGTTTAGGGTTTAGGGTTTAGGGATATTGGGGGTTATATAGGGGTTGTATTGGTTTAGGGTTTAGGGTTTAGGGGGTTATATTGGGGGCTATATAGGGGTTATATTGGGATAGTGGAAAATAAAATGGAAATTGCTATTTAGGGTTTGGGGTTTAGGGTTCATTACGTTGAATGCCACAGAAAGGAAAGATTGTCAAGGCTAAAGCGGGCGTAGGTGGGGATCTGGGCATGGCATAGAAAGTACATAGGTTACATCAGGAACAACGCATGGGTTGAATCCAAGGAATTCGAATAGAATGGGGCTGAATGGGGCTACCAGCAGGCACTATCAGTCGTCAGGCATATCTTAAGCCAGGTGGGTAATTCCCGAAATCAAGGTCCCATTTTGGTACACCTAAATATCAGGTGCCGCAATTCATAACCAAAAAGGGGCCCATAGTTTTGAGACTAACCCATATAACCCCTCTGTACTATATTCCCATATTCCCTACTAAGACCCCAATATACACTATATTATCATCTTATAGCAGCTTTTTGAGGATCACCCCAGTCTATCCTAAATCCTAAACCCTCAAACCTGAATTAAGTTCCTAAAGCCCTAAACCCTAAATTCTAAAACCCGAAACCCTAAACCCCTAAGTCCTAAACCCTAAACCCCTAAACCCCTATTCTCATCTTCTAATCTTCAGTGAGCCAAGCGGCTCACCGCTACCAGATGCCAGGATGAAAACGGCCAGCGTGGCCGGGATGGAGAGCATGACTAAGAAGAGCCCCACCAGCCTACGGTTTAGGGTTTAGGGTTTAGGGCTTAGGTTGGTTAGGGTTGGGGATTTAAGGAGCTTAATTTAAGCTACTATATTGTAGAAACCTTATTAATTACTCTATAAATCTATGTATATATACATACCCATTATGGTAATTTAACTGCATGACTAAGAAGAGGCCCACCAGCCTAGGTAGGGGATTTAAGGAAATGAAGTTTAGCCTAACGGGTTCAGTTATGGGGGTGGTTTTTGGGGGCGAAACGGCGCCGCGCATCGTTACGCTTCGTGTGGTCATTTCACGCACATGCTGAAAACCTTGGCCAGCGTGGTGATTTTGGCACGTTCGGAAGCCGCC